TTAATTAATGCTTAAAATACAGTTATGTTACGTTTACGTATTGCACGATTTCGTAAATTTTTGTGTTACTCCGTGACTTTTAAACAAAACGAAGTCGCAATGCTAGTATTATGAGCAAAGGCTTTACAGTATTACCATAAATTTAAATAGAGTACCTCTTCTCATAATAAGCTTACACTCTACCTTATCAATCCCACAAAATTGGTTAAACATTTTATCAGAAATAGATCCATTCCTCAACTGGGAGGCATTATTCTGCCAAATGTCATAAATTTATACCATTGGTGCAGATCATTAATGGTGTAATCAAGCATCGAATCTGACAGCAAAAAACTGAGGTGAGCAGAACAAAAGTCAAATCCTTTTGACAATTTAAAAACCATTAGAAAGTTCTATGCTACAACATAAAAAGACGCGAAAACGAATTAATTTATATTGCACAACATATGTGTGCTTGGATATTTTTTTTCCGCCTTTTTCTTTTGCTTGTAACACGCAGGCATCAATGGGATTTAATATCATGCAATTTACTCGTTGAGAGAGTTGAGAGAGTTGAGAGAGTTGAGAGACAATACTCGTGGAAGTCGCTGCATGTATTTCTAACGAGAATAAGGAAGGGACAGAGAGTATTATAAGAAATGATGCGCATAATACTAAGAATAACAACTATCGAACATTTGGTTTTGGGATTGACCATTGTCGAAGCAATTACAATCTTTTCATATACAGTATTATCGGGTAAATAAAGAACCATTATTATTTCTATAAAAGTTTAATTTACATTATGTATTGTACATATAATCATTAGGATCTCTCCACGTTAGCATCCTGTCCTCTTGTTCCGATGTTGTTCATCTTTCACTAATCTAAATAAATGTCTTCACGCCTTTGCATCATCTTAGCTTCCCTTTGAATCGAGCGCCTCTTGAGTTGCACAAACTTGATGCCACATAACAAAAGGTTGCACCAAATTTTATTGAAGAATATTCTAGCGCCTTTTTGATAAATCAAATAATCAGCCGGTTAGGAGATTGCATGGACAGCAATATATGCATATGATACCTCGAATCTGCTATACAGGTATGATTTGACAAATTGAACAGGCGGTTTCGAACTTGAAACTTTTAATCCATCGATAAGCGTCGTAGTTTTAAGACGAAAGTTAGAAAGAATGTGCCCACAATAGCACATATTATCATTCCGTTCTGAAGATACATCTAGAATAAATTAAAGAATTATTCCGGGTATTAATAGGTAAGTGGATGGGCGCCTGTTAGTGTTGTGAAATGTTCGAGCTGAGGAAAAATGTGTTGTGGATAGTTGAAACGCCTGAATGCATTGCCCAACCGAAAAAAAAAATTGAATAAAAATTTACCATGCTTTTGTTCTTCTGTTATTGTTCATAGGATCTGAAAGATAAGGATATCTCATATCATTCAAAACTTAAATGCAATAAACATTCATATTGTTTCCTCCGGTGGGACGTCCATTTTTGTTCGACAAACCTGCGCCGACAGATGGCAAAGAAGACGCATACCAAAAATACTAAATTCAAGTGTGATTCGCCTTCTATGATATACGAATCAGGAAATTCGATACCTACTATCGTCGTTATCAACGCCGCCGTACGTCGACTACCAATGATTTACAATGTAAAAATTTTCATCATTACATAAGTCAGATTTACTGTATAATGTTTGTGGGGAAGATCCAAACAACAAAGGTAAAAGTAAAAGAATTAGCTTTTCGCAACGTCAATCAATTTGTTAATGTTAACCTGTAATGTGTTTAAACTACCACAGAGCTTGTTACTTGCATTCCGGTAAAGTATAAAGAGTCACTGGATATCATTGACGATAGGTAACTTGTTAGTGACTAAAAATCATGGTTTAGTAATCGTTCGGCTATTTCTGCATCAACATCAAAAGTATCATCCGTTTCCATTATTATAGTTTTTGTCTGAACTATTGCATGCCGTACGTATGCCTGTTTGCTGCAGAGGGTTTGCACTTGGAATGTTATTAACGACGAAAATTCCCTGCTTACTTTTACGCGCACCAGAATACATTCTTACCCCTTAAACGTTAGCAGATTTCCACCAGTCAATTTGTCAATTTCTATAGATTGGAATGATCGCCATCAGCAGATGATTATTTTTCTTTTTTACATGTATGGTTAGTAAATTGATAAGGATTTACCGGCGAGGGCTTATTCAGACATGTGTAACGACGTTACACAACATCAATAGTTCTGGAAAAACATATTAGCCATGAGACTAATCGGAAAACATTCTCATATATTAATATTACTTTTTTATTCTTGAAATGCAGATATTTCAACTACAATTACAATTTTCACGGCATTTCCTTGTTAGTACAACTTGGGAACTAATAATAGCCTCAAAGTTTGGGTTGGCGTAATTTTCAAAAGAAGCGTCAGAGATCGGCGCATGAGAATTGACAGCAATAATCTTGTAGACGTTAATCTGTAAATAGCCTAATATTCTAATAGTTAGTGGCATTACGGTCAAAAAGGTTTGATCAAAATCTTTGCTCACAAGGCTAAAAAATATCGCGGACAGCCAGATAAAGTAAAAGCCTTTTTACCAGTTGAGAATGTCATCATTATAACATACAAAAGTACACTTTACGTTATGATCTACGAATAAGTTGACTATAACGAACGTTGACTGTATTTAGTTTATAAGAATAAAATAACTGATCTTAAAGAGACGGTTACAATCTCTTTTTGACCGAGACAATATGATGTCTTGTTCAGATATCTTTTTCACACACTTGACTTATTTTAGGTAACTTGAGTGGATAACTATTGTTATCGGGAGCCCCCGGTGCTTTTCGCGATGAATAAATTTAGTAATTGCAATGCAGATTTTTGTCCCCAATACAAACGTAACCATATTAGCTTGCCATTGCGAACCGTTATTTCTTTTAATCTTACCGATTTAAATTAACGTGATAGTGAGAAAACATAATTGTAAATTCGAGATTCTATTAAATATCGGTAGGATTATTACATAGATTTACAATATCATGTTCCACTTACTAATGTTTGCATCTTTTGATTTGCACATTACTTTATTGATAGCTTTAATCGCGTACCAAGGTTTTTAATGGATTTGAGATTCGCGATTATCATATACAAAAGTTAAATGAAATATTATTATTTGCCTTGTATTAGCGAAACTGCACGAGACTGTACAATTTGGAATGAACAAAGCGGAAGATCCAACGAATTGGTTTCCAATTAACGAGTAAAAGTTATGAGAATTACAAACCCATTCTGGCTATAGTAAAGAATTTCTGTAATTTGTTATATCGGGAAAAGAAAAACTCTTGGCATTATCATTATCTTACAAAAAACGTCGAATGTAGCTAATAACTATTTTAGTCATAATTTCTTCAACTTTTTTGGCCTAGTTGCGATACGCAAGCACACATGGGCTAATCTTTCATCGACTAGCTTGTTTTGTTTCGCTGGTAGCGAATGCGGAGTGTGCACGTATAGCAATTGTTCGATTTCCTTGTATAGACTGCTGACTATTTTTTAGCCAATAGATGAATAATAAGTAGAAGACTCTACAAAACGGCGCGCATCCCATGTTCCAAATTAAAACATTAGTTTAATCAGAAAGCTATACACATATTTGTCTTACCAGTATATAGTGTACATATATCCTTTTTCTTACTATGGCGCAAGTGAGCCTGTCAGTCTTATGTTCAGTATTCGAATTTTTAAGGAAGCGATCTCCAGAAACGCCACACAATCTTATCATGATAATGTTAGCAATTTAGTGCGACCAGGTTCATTCTTAATACAAACATAACGTTTGCCCCCATCAACAGACTTATTTTATATTGCGCCCACTGCCAAATGTGTGCGATCAGCCTAAAATTTTACTAATAAAACAGACGTAGGACCATTCTTTCTTTATTGTTATCCTTATTGGATATGTAATATCGATAGATTTTATGTCAAAAGTACTTTAATTACTGTTTTATAATATTCGCACATATAGGGAGGATGCGTCTTATATCCCATATTACAAGCAATAGCTTCATCACAGTGGATTTTTCGATCTGCTTTTAAATTGCATTGTATATGCGCTTTAATTTGGTCAATATTTGTAAACTATGGAGCCATAATTATAGTATCATTAATTAATGCTTCTCAGCGATCATATATTCATCATTCCGTGACACGATTTACTCGATTTGGGATTTACCAATCAAACATTTGCACTAAAAATACATCATAAGATTTATATTGCACTAAATGGAAAACGTCTGAACGCCAACATTAGTTGATTCAACGTTAGGATACCACTAAAGAAGAATGGCTAAATCAAACGAGAACCCCATTCCTAAACCGTCTTAGCATTGTTCAAGAAAATTATATAAGGAAGATAACGGCCGATAGATGGCTGAAGCTTCCTCAAATATAGAAGACATTTTTGCTACTGGTAATATTCTACGCTCAAATAGCCGTTGGCTATACGAGGCGTTACTTGTACGTAAGGTGGAACGAGACGACTACGTCTTAACTAGTGACTATTAGAGTAATGCAATTGACCAGGCTTGGCAAAGAAGCGTTTGGAGCGAAAAGACTATACACAGTGGTGTATATAACGTTAAAAAAACATATTATTTACAAATGATAAACCTTTATATGGACAATTACTACGTTTATATACTGCAAAGAAATGATAAATGTGGTATACAAGAATTCCCGTACACCGATATTCGCATATATTACAAACCAATACAATAACATACATATTTTTTTTTTCATATTACAAATAAATAATACGGTACTTGCAATTTTTTTTTATGCAATTACCATCTATAAATATTCAAAAAATGAGTGACATCCCAACCAAAAAAAAAATTCTTTGAACCTAATCGTCGCTTTCGTAACTGCGATAACCCCAGTAACAAATATGAAAAGCGAGATAACAGCTTTCTTACAAAGGGAGTAGCACAATGACTACCCTTTCAACGATACCGCTCTTCAAACTATCGATTGACACAATTTATTGTATATTTGATCATTTGACAAGCGACGAACAATTGAAATTCGCATTATCTTGTTCATGTATATATCGCGTGTTTAGAATTTATTATTTGGGTTTTTATTCGCCAAAGTGGGAAGAAGTTCAATGGACAAACGATTTAAATAAAAAGAACAAATCCGTCGAAGAGACTATTTCAACAGCAACAACCGCAGACATTACTATTACTACGCCCTCGCCAAGTTACTCCTCACCACAACCACCCCACTCTCCTCCACCGCATATATACCGCAACGCAGTACTACTAAACGACAAGCTCTATCTTCCGTTCTTATCGCCGGGCTCGCCATATTGTTATGTTCTATCCCTTTCCGGTTCACCTTCACAATGGACGCCGTGCTCGCTTTCTATACATCCAGACTCTGACCTACTCTACACACCGCTTTTAAATACCGCTGCCACAGCTGCAAACAAAAAGATATACACGTTTGGTGGGGAGACTTATAGTGGTGACGTCTGCAACATACTATACGAAATAGACGTTGAGAAAATGGAGATTAAGGTTGTCGAAGGGGAAGGAATAATTCCGGGGAGAAGGTGCATGCACACTATTCAAGCCGTTGCCGAGAAGTGGTTGGCGGTTTTTGGGGGTCGACGTATAGCATATGAAAATAATGATGATTGTGTTCTGGATAACGATAACGATAATGATAATGGTAAGTACATATAATCAATCATAGAACTTATTAAGCACGTCAAACGTAGCACAAAAAACAAAAGCCGGCGCGGATGGAAGAAAAACAATATTTGAATCATTTTTTTATTGCAAACCCTCCCCAAACTTTTCAAATAGGTGAGTAGAGAACTACACGTTTGGCTTGCGTTTGTTTGTGAATACACTTTGTTATTGAGTTTGGATAATAGTATGTTTGGAAAAATTTATGTTATTCGGCTTTTTTTTTCTAACACTATTTCCGTTCTTTTCTGTTAGACCATCTCAACACTCTCTATTTCTCTTAGATCCAATATATTACGATACGAAAGATTTCTATCTATTTTATATTCCATATTCGACATGGATTTTCCCGACAACTTTGTACTCGGCGCCATATCCACGGTCGTATCACGCTTGTGCTGTTATTGATTCGGCAATGTACATTTATGGGGGACAGCAATTGACATTTTCGACTGAATCTAGACGGTATGATTTATAATATGAAGTATATAATTAAAAAAATAGTAATAGTAATAGTAATAGAAATAGGAAGGGAAGGGAAGGAAGGGCGAAAAGCGCTTATATGAACAACCGATCGATCAAAGAACACCCCACGGTTAAATGTGCGTAAGTAATGCTAATTTTGTTGTTATTTTCAATTATATTTACAAGAGTAGGAAACGATCAAATACAATTGGACGCATCTTTTAGCAAGGTTGAAAACGCCGCCTATAGTAATAGATGCCTAAGAAATAATGTGCACGATGATGAGGATTTATGGTGTTTTCGAATCCCTGATTTTTGGCCAGATTCATCTTCCTCATCATCTTCTTCTGTTCTACACTCTGGCATCACGAACGACGCAACCACGATAACGAGAGCAAGTTCAACAGTTTTTTCTAATTCGACTTCAGAACAACGTTCCCGTTCTCCCAACACGATTGCCCGGTCGTCGGTTCCTTTGGTATCTTATTGGGAAAAACACATATTACCACGTGCAAATGGCTTTCATTTTACCCATATCGGAAGACGACGAGAGTGGATTATGACAAAAGGAAAAGCAGTGGGAAGATGTTGTGGCGCAGCAATGGTAGGAATGACAAGGAGATTAATTCTCTTTGGCGGATGGGATAAAGATCGATGGGATTTGGAAGTGAACACGTTTACGACTAGAAGGAAAAGACTCGACGGCTCTATAAATCAGCCGGCGTCAGCAAGTCGATTGGATGGTTCGAACTTGATTAACAAAAGTAGCGCGGAAAATACTGGATTATCTAACTATACCGACAACACTGTAATCTCTTTCGGCATACAATCAAGCGAACCACCTCAACCACCTCAGCCACCTCGTCAATATCCTCGAACGGATCAATCTCATTCACCTTTGCCTTTATTCGATGATCGTTTATCAATCTCCGATTTATCCTCTGCGAAACGTACATGCGACACAACAAAACCTTGGGAATTTCTCAAAATCTACCTGTTCGAGAGGAATTATTGGATACACTTGCACGTCAAGGGTCTGCCTGAGATGGAATGTGTGGCGTTCATATCTGACAATTTAGCTCTGTCGAATAATTTGTTTGTTGTAGGCCGCACGAGGGATGCAAGCAATCGTATTACCATGGGATGGATTAAGGATGAATGATTTTGAGCGTATTATATGAATATGGGGTTCTTAAAGGTAAAAACGGCATTTATGACATAAGAAACTAACCATCAAAGACCAAGTCGATAACGACTCTAAGTTGGGATCTTGTCAATTTATTCCTAATTTGTTCACTGTTACAGATTGTTCATCGGAATTTATGCGATAGCAAATATTTTCTTTATTCTTACTGACATCATACGCATATAGAGTTTACGGTCAATTGAATGGCTAATAAAGATATAATTAAGACATTATTCGCAGCATACGTAATGTTTTGACAAATATGGGATAAATCACTATTTTTGCTAATTCAACTTCGATTCGTGCCACACAGCGGTGATGGGTGTTAGAATACTGTCACTCTCACAAAAGCCTCTTGCGATGTCTTATAAGACCATCCGTGCTTTCCCAAATCATATATGCTTAACGATTCTACTTTCATACACACGGAGTAAGGACCCGCTGTTTGCAAAGACCGATTTGAGGGGTACGCATGGTGAGAGAAATTGGTGGATAGTGATGATCAATATAAACCCCAAATTTGCTATCAGACCAATGAGAGATGACCGTTTATTTTGATCTGCACGAATTGGGGTCTCGAAAAAGATAGGCGTGAAGTTGAGAGCACGAAAAAAAAATAGATTTCGAACAATCGATCTAAATGTAAGCCTTGACTCGGTTCCGAGCTTATCTGTGAATGCATTGCATGTAGAGAGGGTCGACTGTATAAAGGTCGACATATTATAATGTTTGTAAAACGTTGGGTATCTTGGTTACACTGATAATGCTATATATGCATCTATGATACCAATATTACTTCATTGTTTAGATGGGACAAATCAAAAAAAGCATAATATTTCCTCGATGGTCATGATGTGTTCAAATCGCAGCAGCCTACGGTATCAGCATTGCATGCAACAAAATACGCAGAATCTTTATTTAGTAGGCATGCAGGCTGTTGTCTCACGTTCAATCACCATTTTTTGCTTAATGTTCTTATTGTTATATGCTTGCTATTGTTGATATATCATTATTAATGCAACGATTCATTAAGGTTGTGCAACTGGAGATAATATAACAACAAGGTAATAATTAACTATACTTGTCATCGTATGCTTTTATGTTTGGGCGTTTTACCAAATTAGCCAAGTAAAAAAAAATTGGGAAAAAAAAAAGGATTTAAATCTTAGCTTATAATTTATCTGAATAATTACTCAGAGTGCGTAATTTATCCATTAAAGCTGTAATCCTATTACATGCGTTTTACAGGCATTCTAAGTTGCCGTCTTTCTCAAAATTGATATAACAGACACAACTCGTTTTTGCTATTAAGAGCATATGCAATTAGGTACACGTCCCAACAATTTTTTTCTGACTCGTACTAACGCAATTTAATTTTTACGCATTTTATTTAATAATGTTTTGTTGTGTAAATTATAATGCAAGGCGCGTTGTACATTATTGGTGGGCTCAATTTGACTAATTAACTTATTGCAAAATGGGAAATATTTACTATCTTTAATAAAGGCATCAAATATGTTTTATTTTTCTTGGAAACGTATACGGTGTGTGCAAGCCTATAATACCTTACCATTGCAAGTTTAAAGCAAGCAATTTAATTTTAAACAAAAAGATGTCTATAGTCGTAATAAAATGACAAAACAATCGAGTCCGTGTTTCTGATTGTCGGATCTTAAATTAATGTTCCGGACAAATAAATCAAAATATGTGTTCAATTATGAAAATCACATACTGCATGAAACAACAAAGCGCCAAGAAATCTATAAGTAAAATAATTGAAAGGTAAAAAAGAATTTCCTGTCAATTTCGTTAAATGCGGAGCGGTGATCTTACATTGCATGTTTTACCCAATCACAACAAGTTCAGGGTTACATATGCATAATAGTTGGAGATTTATATGCATAACAGTTGGACAAGCAGCAGGGTGTACATATTAATATTCTACTATGGGACACGACACTACTAGCATGAAAATTTTAATCTGTTCTCGCAATTACACTCATGGAATTACAATATGAGAAACTCTCTACATGATATCGCTCCTGGTTCGGGTTTACTTGTAACACAATTTACCGTATAATAATAATTGCTGAGACTTTGGGTTCCATAGATTTGTGTTATGTAGATGAAAAAGATGCACGTGAACGTAGGACAGCGACCCCCCAAAATTTAAAGAGTAGAAATGTACAAGTCTTGCTACAAAGCTGTTCTTCAAATGTTTATGACATTCATCTCGATTCATCTGTTGGAAAAGGTTGTTAGTGTGTAATGGCAAAGATGATAGATTACTGTTCAAATCCACTTGATGTATTGATAAATAAACAGATCATCTAACTTGAACGTTTATTATCGAAAAACTTTTCGCCATCATCCCCATAGTTTATAATCTCAGCAATTCTTATTGCTTTCACTCTGATCCGTTTGCAACTTCCCTCTCTAAGATTGGCTCTTGGATCCCGTCACTGCATCGCTTATATCTTTGACGGCTACTTCAACGCTCTTTTTTGAATACTTAACGACATCGGAAAGAGTACTACTCACTGCTGTAATCGTTGCAGATTTTTGTCCATATTCATCCACTCTATTGGCAATATTGCGGGTTGTTCGGGGAATAAAGTAGTACGATGCCGCAACAGCAAACGCAATTGGGCTCGTGAGACGGATTAAGATGTTTCCTGGCATCGCGTAAAATAAACATGAGATTCGAAAAGAAATGAGAATAATAATAGTAAAAAAAGGGGGGTGGAGAAAGACTTACGATTTCTCGTAACAACCATTCCCGCAAAGGTTGCCACAGCAATGTATAAGACTTCGGGCATGAACCGTTCATCCGGTGAGATTACGTCTTTTATTGACTCTGTAATGAAACAGTTTCCAGAATTTCAAACTTACAGCCCCTCACATCTTTAATGTATGAGACAAAATAAATTGTTTTACTTACTTTCAGTTTTTTGTTCGATTTCTATCCAATTGTTGGTCCATGTTCGCAAGATGGCCTATTTACAACTACAGTTACATCCATATGGTCGGTGAAGAACTCCCTTCCATCATATCCGACATCAGGCGCCACTCCTACCTGCGCGTCTTTAACAGATCGCGTAGCTTGAAGCCTAATTTTTCTGACGCCTGCCTCCAAACGCGTTGGAACTTCTTCAAGTACTATTTCGGGTTTAGGGTCATCATATATTCTTGGCTAATAATAGATAGAATAGTATATGTTAATTGCCGTGGAAAGGGCACATAATTCAGGCATAGCCAAGTTCTGTAATTGTTTACCTTTTTATATTGTTTCACTTCTTCAGCATAGACTCGGGATATTCGACTTGTTCCAAGCAAGGTTACGCCGACGGTTGCGGAAGTGGCAAGGAATCGGAAGTGGCGAATTCTATTCATTTTTTTTTTCAAGGGCTGTCACAGACAAGTGCCAAGTTGAGCCAATTGGTCACATGACAGATTATGATCTCAAATCAACGTTCGACAGTAGTAGTAGCTTGCTTTTTGCTAAATAAGGTTTCACAAAGCATTGACACATATTATACAGTCACTTTACTTGTCAATAAATAGGAATGATAACAATACATATTGATCAAGAAAAAAGGTTCGATTGTGAAAACATCTTTCCTGTGAAAGCTATTTGCATGCCATACCATTGGCATTTTATTATTAAGGATTCTAACGACTCCATTGTCTACTTCCACTTTTGCTATTTTGCTTTAAATAATAATCTTTTTTGTTACTGTCTTCATTTTTCTTGTATGCTCTTCTTCCTGATTTTTGTTCCTTCGTACTAACACCCATATTAATATCTACTTTTGGCGGAACAGAAAATCCAAAAGATTTACCCACTTTTTGAAGATCGAGATTGTTTAGATTAAAAATTGATTTCAGCGAGTACGAAGCATATGCTGTTAAATAGGAACGAAAGCCATCCCGCGCGGATTGATAAAGATAATAATTCTTGGATATCAAAGCTTCGAGCTGCGTGTGTAGAGGGGAGAGGAGGGGAGGGGCAAGGTGTGGACAAGGCAGGTTAGAGTCTTAACGTGGTAAAAACAGATAAGGAATGATGGTAATATGTAGTTGAACGAACTGCGTCATGGTATGCCATCACGTAAAGCTTCGAAACTATTATATTGCCGTGATCATGTGCACGGTATTAAAAAAAATCCTTACCTGAGTCTGGATATTAGCGATTTTTCCTTTAGCAAACTCGAATTCGTTCAGTGGCACTTTTGCCTGTTTTAAATATCTCAAAAATCCCAGTTCGCTTGGAAGCAAGAACAGCAAACTCTTCCCTCTCCCACCGGCTCTAGCAGTTCTTCCAACTCTATGTATATAATCACGTGGGTCATCCGGCGGATCGTACTGCACAATCCAATCCACTGCGGGGATATCTAACCCTCTTGCTGCCACGTCCGTACAAAGAAGGATTCCCTTCTCCGCATTATGGAATTCGAAAAACGTATTCGTTCGCTTTTGTTGTTTCTGTTTACCATAAAGCTCTAACACGGGCGTGTCAATGTAATTGAGGAGTTCAGCGTGATATTTGACTGATTTACATGAAGAGAAGAAGACAATGATTTTTTTGGATAGGTTGCGACGGAGGAAAGTGAAGAGAAGAAGGAATCGTTTGTCACTATCGCAAACAACGTATCCCTGTGTAAGACCTTCGACTGTCGAAGTCTCTTTCTCCTGATCAACGTTAATGTATATGGGTCCAGGCCGAAGAGATATTCGTGCAAGGTCAGAGACCTTGGTGGTTTGTGTTGCTGAAAAGAGCATAGACTGGCGGTTTTCTTTAAAATAAATAAAAAAGTTAGGCCGAGATAGCGCATAAAAAGTTACAAAATCAACGATAGTCGAATTAATAAATTGCAGTTGTTATTACTGTCAACGCTATTGTACAATTACCATTCGGTATAATTTTTATAATTTGCTTCATTTCATCTTCAAAACCAATCTCCAGAATTCTGTCTGCTTCGTCAATGACGAGAGCCTTCAAATTCTTGTATACGAAACCTTTTGTGTTCTGTTAAAGAGATTTCCACCATAATGTGTAAATAATTTTAGTATTTGATTTGATATATAAGAAACATTTAACTTTTTCGCATCACTTGGCTTCTAAAGCCTTTTTCATATATAGACGTACTTGCAAGTGATCCAATAATCGTCCCGGTGTAGCAATTAAAAGATTGACACCTTTCAGTAACTTTTGTACTTCGGCTTGCCTATTTGCACCACCCATTACAATACCGAATGTATGTTGATGATACTTTAAAAGTTCTTTGGCCACACCGAGAATTTGCAAGGCCAATTCACGCGTGGGTGATATCACTATAATTCCTGTACCTGTTCAGAAAAATACAAGTCAGAAAATGCTCCATAATAAAATAACTCTCTTTTTTTTTATTGCGTCAATTCCCTATAGGGAAGCACAGTGCATTCATTTCCAATCATCATTTGCTAAATACTTTGTACAGTACTCACCATTCCTTGGCTTAAATTTTAACTTGAACAAAATCTCCACGGCTGGTATTAAAAACGCTAATGTCTTGCCTGATCCGGTTTTTGCGGCTCCAAGTACGTCGCGCCCGGCCATTAATGGAGGTATTGTACGAGCCTGAACTTCTGTCATGCGCGTAAAGCCCATATCTACGATTGCTTTCTTCGTTTGTTCAGAAACATCCAATGAATCGAACGAGTAATTCAATTCTACTTCTGTTAAAAATAGTCGAAAGAAATCAGATACGTTTTACAGACAAATGAAAGGGCAGTTTTTAGGACGACAGCAAATCGCGCAATATGCATGCCAACTGGATCTTGTGCGATTGACAGCGAGTTGACTTACAGCATGCTCGTTACATTTTGCGTTTTACCTTCTCCAAATTTTGACTCTTCCGACGACATATCAACAAAATTTGAAGTATTCGCTTTTTTCTGAGGTGACTGAGGTGGAGCGTGTTCTTCATTGTCACTGTCTCGTTTTCGTTTCTTTCCACCTACAACGTTTTGTGCCTGCTCTTGTTGTTCTTCCTCTTCTGGATTTTGGCTAATTTCTTTCTCGTCTTTCTTTATCTTGCCGCTGTTCAAAGCCTTGTCGATATTAGCTTTTTTACTATTCTTTTTCGCCATTTGTAAAAAATTCTTTTTTCGATATTGAGTGGCGTAGTTTGGCAACTTTAGTATGTAGTTCACGTGAAATTCATTGTATTGGATGAGATAATCTTGCTTTGTGGCAGAAGTTTTGCTAACAGAAAAAACACAAATATCAATTAAGACAATCAGTGCAAGTATTAGTATGATAATGATATAATTATAATAAATAATAAAATAGTCAAAGAGCACAATCACATAAACACAATGAAAAATTCATACAGTTTAAGCGTAAACTTTTCGCGCGATTCCAAATATTGTTGGCAGTCACAGGATTGCCACGGCTTCGAATTACAAGACTTTCGATTTTTATAGGCAACTAATGACGGAAACAACTTGAGCTGGGCTTTAAAAAACAGCGATTCGCGTCCGTTATTTATTATTGGTTGGTGAAAGCGGAACTGCTATAACTGGTCGAAAATATCTGCACGTGAGGAATATCATAGATGTGTCACCATCTGATAAAATTTTCCAAGGAACAAATCAACTCTGTACCTTACATTCTTTCCCTCATAGATTCCTTCTCACTCGTCTCACCATAAATGCGATCCTAAATGTCAGGTTACGACGAAGGGTATACCTTTCCTCCAAACGATGACTTACAAGTTCCTGAAGAAGAAGAGGGGAATGAGGAAGTTAAGCCTCAGGACGTGGACTTTTACGCCGTTTTAAATGTTGCTAAAGAGGTATGATTTATAAATTCAGCAAAATATAATGGATTACATAGGTAAAATGTATATTTATTTATTAATAGGATAAGGCATGCGAGTGTATTACATGCTCATACGCTTTTTTAAGTATGCATACTCCTCGTAGATATGGCACTTAATTCCTTCACACATAAACCACGGCTCTTAATTTGAGTTCCTGAATAATTGCTTCAAGTTTCTATTCTTCCTTTTCGTATTCTATACACTGATCCACAAAAGTTTATGCTATAAATACCTTTTCCAATACTCGCATACTTTAATATTTTTGCGTGTGGTTTTGGTGTTCCATCTTATTTTTATTTTTTATTTTTTGATTTGAATTTTTTCCCCTCATCCCTTATATCCAATGTACTTCATTTCTCAATCGTTTACACAGGCTACTGAAGATGAAATAAAAGAAGCATATAAAAGATTATGCAGAACGTTCCACCCGGATAAACATGTAGATCAAGCAGATAAGCTAGCAGCTGAGACAAAATTTCAGGTTATTCAGAAAGCTTATGAAGGTTAGAACAAATTAAATGAGCGTTACCATGCAAGAAGACGCGTGACTGTTCATACATTTTTGGTTTTTTTCCTTCCCGCTTTTTTTACAATGATTCTACCTATTTCAGTGCTCGTCGACAAGACAAAACGCGCAATATACGATATGTTTGGGGAAGAAGGGCTACGCACTTCATGGGATGTGGGAATGAAGCTTAAAACACCGCAAGAGGTGAGGAAAGCATTAATGTGGACCAAGTCACCAGAAAACATAGAGTTGATTGTAAATCGGTTTTTTAGTTGAGAGAAGAGTTCGAGCGACAGATGAGAGAACGTCGTGAAAAAGATCTTGACAACCTAGTAAAATCACGAGTAGGTTTCGTCCAATGCTAGCCAATGTTGCATTTTTCATGACAACGCGTCATAATTATACTTACCGCTGTTATTTTGTTTGAATTACATAGGGAGACATTCATATAAATATCGATGCCTCACAAGTCTTTTCGCCAAATAATCGTGCTTATCGTCGCAATCAAAGATTACCCGCATATCCATCGAGAAGCAGCAATAATATATTTGACAACTTTGAACTCAAACAATTATTCCTTAAACACTCGTTTGAGGTAAATTTGTGTGACAAAGTTACAGTTGACGCGTACGTGAAACAGTCAGTAATGTGTCTAATTTAACTTTGTTTTTGGGAGGAGTAGGTGCCGGTTGATCCGCAGACACAAGTCTCAATCATTGGTCAAATGGTCACAAGAAATGGAATCGGAAGTGGTAATATTGTGGGATCACTACGGCATACATTTTCGCCTACTTTCTGGGCTGAGGTAAGGAGATTCGAAGGGGGGTTTGTTAAAATCGATTATAAAATGTCTCGCTATCTTCGTTCGCGTTTCTTGCTGTCATGCTTATCGACATATCTATGATAACACTCCCGTTTATTAACAGTCATTTGTGATCAAATACTTTTTTTTTCATGTGACTGTTTTAGATTGGATCATCATTCATTCAACCACGCATGCTGACAGCAAAAGCGTTTTATAACATCGATCATGATAGGTAAGTTGCGATACATTAAGGACACAGTTTTTATTAATTACTTGAAAGTAATTTAGTACGGTGGCATTTATGATTGAATAATAAGGACCTTTACAACATTGCTATAGAATTATGCGGCTGCTCCATCTATGACATCCAAGGCTTTTACTAACGAATGCATTCCTATATTATATCAAATATTCAACGTTTCCAAACTTCCATCACGTGTTACCTAATCGGAAACAAAAAAAACGCATCTAGTTTCTTAAGTCTTACGACGCAATCTTATGCAGTGAGTTCACCTCCAATGATTGCAGTCACCGCAGGAAGGAGAATAGGCGCTCGAACAACTGGTTACTTGACATACAAGACTGGTGCATGGAGTTTGGGGCCTTGGGGGAGATATAATGATTCAATGTTTGCACGGAGAGAAAAGTCGGCTGTGGCTATTGGACTGAGTCGGGGGGGCGAGAAGAGCGCACTCGGGTTGGAATTGCAGGTGAGCAACTATCATTACTTTGATACTTGCTATTATTCGTATGCTGTCATGTATGAGCATAAGCCCACCATTCTTATTCACTATCTTGATAACTTTGGATAGACAGGAATTATACAATCCCACATCTCGGCAAACTATACACGTAGTATTTTTTCCGACTACCAGCTTCGTACGTCAATAATACTCTCCACAGTAGCTGGTCTTACTGCCATGATAGCCGGAGATCGGAAGATAACGGCGAACACAAAAGCCGGGATATCCATTGAATTTGGTTATCCTAATGGGATTATGTACAGACTCAGGTAAGAAAGGCAGCCGGTTGCGGAGAGGACGGTTAAGATAATGAAAGAGTGCATTTTCAAAAGAACGGTTTTGGAGGAGTCATATGTCAAAGTTTTTCCATAATGCCGTGTTCGTTCAACAATCGATCTGATATTAATGAACTGATCAACGTATTTGTCGACATGATATTACGATATATTAATGTCGAAAAAATTATGGGATAAGACTTTATTTTCATAGTCATTTTAATGACATTTTATTTTATTCAAAAACAGTGTTTTTAATTCCCGTTGATTATTAACCTCAGGGTGTCCCGCCTAGGACAGAGAGTAACCATACCATTCATCATATCACCTGACCTTGACCTTAAGCTGGTGTTTTGGTTGACTGCTATTCCATTGGCAACAACTATTATATTAGATCAAGCTATACTAAAACCACAAAGGAAGAAAAAACGGGCCGAGTAAGTTGAGATACACGGTGTTTTTGTCTGACTCCTTCCGCTTTATATTGTTGTACATCCAGATGTTTTACAAGAGCCAAAAGAATCACTACTCAACTCTTTCAAACTTTTTTAGTAAACTCGCAGCAATAAGAGAATATCACGCAGAGCTGATATCTACTCGTAAACGCGAAGCAGAGGAATCGCAGCGCCTGCTTCGACCGACTGTTGAGCGTAAAATAGCTTCTGAACGTGAAAAGGATGGTCTAATAATCGTCGAAGCTTTATATGGAAATCTAAGAAAATTAAATGATGGCATCACGACGGAAGGTGGGGAGGTCTTCGATGTTACAGTGGCTGTTCAGGCATTAGTTCATGATTCACAGTTGGTCATTCCCGGTGGACGGTCGAAGGTAAGGGAATGTCAAATAAGAATGAGATGCACATTACTATAACCTGAGAAAGTGGTTACGAATCAATAATGTCATTGTTTTGTTCTCCTAGTCGAGTATTATGGGATTTTACGATCCGTGTCTTGGAGAGAAGAAACAGTTGAGGATAAAATATTTGTTCAAGCGTAAAGAGCATGAAGTAATAATGGATGATACGGCACCCGTTGCATGTCCGTTGCGCTGTGAGTCTTGTTTAATAACGTTATGCAAAGGCCTTTGTTATGTAATATGAATAATACTAATTTATCCGCGCTAATTTTCACTATCCAGCCCACATAATCTCTGATACCTGATAACTTTTTCTTCTTGACTCTCACCTTATCATCTCTTATCCGTGTAATTTTTTACAACGGACAAAGCAATAAAAAACCTCGTCCGAATTTATTCATTCTAGATACCAATAAATAATATTCGAATAGCATTGCAAGAAACATGCGAAGAGTTGGCTTACAGAATAATAAACACATGTCTCGTTCGGGAATAACAAATAGACATAAAAAATTACAATGATTATAAATAAAATCTACTAAAATAGGAAGAGAAAACAAAAACAAATTAGGAACATCCATAAGCAATGTTTGATGAAAAGAGTTAATTATCCCGCCTGGGAGATGATTCGAATGGGCAGCCGTTGTATTTTGGATGGAACAGTGTATATCCCAAATATATGCGAAGGACAATGAACTCTTTAATACGAAATCTATTTGATTGATAGCTAACATCAAATGATTGATATCGACTATCTACTCATTGTAATATAAATTAAGACTAATAATATAAAACGATATCAACTGAAATAAAAACCCCCCACACAACGCCTATCCGGTTTTATTCTACTTGTAATCTACTTGTTAAACGAAAATCCTTTCTTCTTAGCTTTTTCGGGCGTGATGGGTCTTCCACTTTCTAGTCTTCTCTTCTTCTCTTCTAATTCCATTCTCTGCCTTTCCAAGGCATCCTTCATCTCCTTGTGTCTAGTGTATAATTCTTCTTCACTTTGCTTCAATTTCGACTCTTTCTCTGCGACTTTCTGTTGGAATACTGACTTCATTTCATTTTCCATCTTTTGTAATTTCACTTCGTGAAGTTGACGCTCTTCTTCCATCTTGGCAAGTGGGTTAACTTCCTTAAAGACTGTTGGATCTTGTTGGACACCCATGCTTTCTAATTTCTCGGAACGATAGTTTTCGTAGAGAACGTCACTTGTGTATTCCTTTAGTTCTTCCATATGGGTGCTATTAAGAGGAGGAAAAACCGTTGTTTCAATGTTAAAAGTGACATGGAAACCTTGTAATGATTATCATACACCGAGTTTTGTTTTTTCGATTAACTTACCGAATAAGCATCTGCCTTAATTTGACAAAATCACAATGGTCCGGATTATCAACTTCGATCACACCCCATGGATATTTCCTGCCTCGGACTTTCTTGCCATCATCTCTCTCTACTTCTCTGTCACTGCCGACAATAGCAAACGGGATTTTGTTGATGATTTCCTTGTTCTCTGCTATCGTCTCTGGGTCATCATATTCATACTGCGGTGCCTGGTAGATCTGAATGTTGTGGAACTTGATGTCATCCAGAATTCTCTGTTTGAATTGCTTGATTTCGTCTTCGGTTAAAGTATCGCTCTTGGCGATTACGGGAATAAGATTAACTTTTGTGTGAAGACGGCGCATGAACTCAACGTCGAGAGGTTTAAGAGAGTGACCAGTGGGTGCAATGAAGTAGATGCAAGCGTGGACGCGATTGTCAACCATCTTACGACGGTTCACGCGGTTTTCTTGTTCGAGGTATGCATCGAAGCGTGCTTCAATGTTGTCAAGGATCGGTTTCCAGCTTTGGGTTTAAAAGGATAAATGATGTGAGTTGAGCTTGTTGGGAATCATTTTTCAAAGAGAATATGTGGTGCAAGTTTTTTGCTTACCTCTCCTCGTTATTAACAAAATCACCAAATCCGGGTGTGTCGACGACAGTGAGTCTTAGTTTGACTCCGTTCTCTTCAATTTCTGTTATAAATGAATTGGTCGTATACACACGATATTATTATTTTATCGGTCGAATGGTGTTTTACTATCGGCACACATCAACACTTGTGCTATTTTGATTTTCCTTCATAAGCACAGTCTCGTTTATACATACCAGCACTCAAACTTTGGATCTCAACGGTCTTTGGCGTCTCATCTGTTGGTTCAACATTATCCTTTTTGGGATAAAGTGTTGTTCCAAATAGAGTATTGACCAATGTGGATTTTCCAAGACCAGACTCACCGACAATCATGACGGTGAAATGAAAGCCTTTCTTGACTGATTTTCGGTGCACTTGGTTAGGCAGGTTTGCAAAGCCAACATAGCCTTGAAGGGCTTTTTTGATTACGCCGTTCATGCCAGCCTGAATAAGGGTTCGAGGGAAAGGATTTAACAGGGTGAGTATGATGTGAGGTAGAGACAATTCATCTTTAAGACGTTGGGATATTGGAGCAATTGTCCCAATTTCTCTTTTATATATCTAACGTCTATTCATACTTTATGACACTTACTTTTATACCAGAGACTAGACCGTCTATTATCAAGTTTTGAAGGAATGACATAGAAAAAGACAAACATTATCAAAATAGGGTATTAACGCGGTAAATTCAATAGCGGTGGGAATGAATAGCAAATAGCATAATGCGCACGGTCTATCTAAATTCTCGACGAGTATATTTCCAATGAATTGCCAAGATGACTCTCCTTGGAGTAAAACAGTAAGGGCTAAATACATATTCAGGCTCACTCCATTTCTCGCTACAGCTTTTCGGTGAAAGCCATCATCTTACGATGGTAACTATTTCTTTGACTACTATTGTGATCACGCCTTAGTTCGCCATCTATATGTCCTCTTTCGCTAGCACTCTTCC